GGCGACCAACTATCTCACCCAGGAAGAGCACAATGATCACAATACCAACATGGGCCAGTGAAGCGATGTCCTCCATAACTAGACTGAAGATCAAAATGACAGCAACTTGTCTGTTCCCCTCCCCCAATTCCCCAATAAAAATCTTTGGAAAAAAATTAAATAAATTCAATGTAATAGCAATGAAAATTTCAGGTTTCTTTTGAAACTCAAACACTGAATTTTAAAATTCATATGACAAGATCTATATGAGGAAAATTACAAAATTCTAATGAAAGAAATAAAAGAAGAACTAAATTAGTTGGAGAAATATTCCACGTCCATGGATAAAAAGACTCAATATTATTAAGATGTAAGTTCTCCTCAACTTGATCTATAGATTCAACACAATCCCAATCAAAACCCCAGTGATGTATTTTGTGGATATTGGCAAATTGATTCTGAAGTTTATATGGAGAGGCACAAGACTCAAAATAGCCAACACAACATTGAAGAAGAACAAAGTTGGAAAACTAACAACATCAAGAATTACTATAAATCTACAGTAGTCAAAGTGTGGTATTGGTGAAAGAATCGATAAACAGATCAATGGAACAGAATAGAGACCCCAGAAATGGACCCACACCAATAGAGTTAATTGATCTTTCACAAAGGAGCAAAGGCAATACAACGGAGCAAAGATAAGTCTTTTCAACAAATGCTGAAACAACTGGATATCCATATGTAAATAAATAAATAAATAAACAAACAAGCAATTAAACAAATCTAGACATAGACCTTAAACCATCACAAAAATTAACTCAAAATGGATTGTAGATATATATGTAACATACAAAAATAGAAAACTCCTAGAAAATAACATAGAAAAAAATATAGATGAACTTGGGCTAGGTGATGACTTTTTAGATACAACACCAAAGGCACAATCTATGAAAGAAAAAGTTGATATGTTAGTCTTTATTAAAATAACTTCTGCTCTGCAAAACACACCATCAAGAGAATCAGAAAATAAGCACACACTGGGAGAAAATATTTGCAAAAGACATATCTGAGAAATATTATTATACAAAATATGCAATGAACTCTTCAAAAGTCAACTATAAGAAAAACAGCCTGATTAAAAAATGGGTGAAAAACCTGAATAGACACCTCACTAGAGGATGTACAGATGGCGAATAAGCATATGAAAAGGTGCTCAACATCAAATGGCATTAGGGAATTGCAAATAAAACAATGAGATACTACTACACATGTACAGTAGAAAGTCCAAAATCCAAAACCCTGACAAATTCAAATGCTGGTAAGGATGTAGAGCAACATGAACTCTCATTTGTTTCTGGTGGGAATGCAAAATGGTACAGCATTTTGGAAGAAAGTTTGGCAGTTTCTTATAAAAGTATACTCCTACCACACATTCCAGCAAGTGTGCTCCTTGGTATTTATACAAATGAGTTGAAAACTTATGTCTATGCAAAAATCTGCACATGGATGTGTATTGCTTTATTCATAATTGCCGAAACTTGGAAGCAACCAAGATATCTTTCAGTAGGTGAGTGGATAAATAAACTGTGGTACATTCAGATTATAAAATATTATTTAGTGCTAAAAAGAAATGACCTATCAAGTCATGAAAAGACATAGCGGAACCTTAAGTGCATATTAGCAAGTGAAAGAAGCCAATCTGAAAAGGCTACACACTGTGTGATTCCAACTATATGATATTCTGGAAAAGGCCAAACTATGGAGACAGTAAAATGATCAGTGGTTGTTAGGGGTTGGAGGAGGGGGAAGAATGAATAGGCAGAGCTCAGAGGATTATTAGGGCAGTGACTTAATCCTCTTGGGCTGCTATAACACAATACCATAAAGAGGGTGGCTTATAAACAAGAGAAATTTACTTCTCACAGTTCTGGAAGCTGGGATGTCCAAGATTAAGGCACCAGCAGATTCAGTACTTGGTGGGAGCCTGATTTCAGGTTTGCAGACAGCTGTCTTATTGCTGTGTTCTCACATGGTGAAAGAGGGCAAGGAAGTTCTCAGGGACCTCCTTTATAAGGACACTAAATCCCACTCATCAATCCCACCATGACGACATAGTCATCTCCCAAGGGCTCCATCTCAAAATACCATCACTTTAGGCATTAGGATTTAACATATAAATTTGGGGTGGGGACACAAACATTCAGTCTATAGCAGGTAGTGAAACCATTCTGTATGAAACTATAATGATAGATACATGTCATTGCATTTGTCAAAACTCACAAGCTGCACAACAAGAGTGAACCCTAATGTAAAGTGTGTACTTTGGGTGATGATGTGTCAGTGTAGATTCATTTGTTAGAAGAAATGCACCAGTTGATAGTAGTGAAGGCTGTGTATGTGTAGGGGGAGGAAGTATATGGGAATACTCTGTACTTCCTGCTTAATTTTCCTGTGAACCTACAAGTGCACTAAAAATAAAGTCTATTATAAAAAATTAAAAATAATATTTTATGATATGTGGGACACAGTCACTCTTTTGTTTATATAATACATTGTCTGTGATTGCCTTCACACTACAACAGCAGAGTTAAGTACTTGCAACAGAGACAGTACATCCCCCAAAGCCTAAAATGTTTACTATCTGGTCCTTCTATAGAAAAGGTTTGCTAACCCCTGACTCATAAGATAATTTGCTGAAAACTGACTTAGTCCCATAGAAAAATTGAACTGCCTTCCTATCTGCCACCACATGCAAATTTGAAGTACCATGGAATTTGGTATGAAGAATAAAACTAACATACTATAGAAAGTGCAGAAAAATATTTATGACCTAGGGATAGAGAAAAACTTCTTAAGACCGCAAAAGCACAAGCCATAGGGATTAATATTTTTAATTTTGGTTTCACAAGATCAAAATGAAGAACTTCCATCCAAGGAAGAACATCATGGACAAAGTTAAGACATAGGTGAAGACTGAAAGAAGATATTTACAATGTTTATACTGGCAAGGGATTGCCAGCTAGAATATACAAAGACTACTTGCACATCAACAAATTTGGAAAGGATATGAACAGTAAGTAAATAAAAGGCACAATATTTTTCTCCTATTTATTTGTTCTTTTCCACATAAACTTTGCAGTAAATATTGTTCTTGCCTACCTATCCCAAAAAAACAATTGCATTTTTACTATTAGCCTGTTGTACATTTTCTAGACTTAAAAAAGTCCCCTTTCACATTGTAAATCAGTGAAATTTTCATATTAAGGTAACCTGTTAGAGATATTCAAGACCTCTGGTTTGTAAGTTTAAAATTCCTTGTTATAGTACACTACTGATCAAAATGTTCTTGTGTTATTTGGTTATTGGACATGACAAAATTGAGTCAGTGTACGTAACTTTTTGTACTCTGATATGCAGAACACAGCCGTTTGAAAGGAACAAAGCATAGCACAAAACAATGACCATTGCTGCCAGCGAGAAATGAGCCAGGATCTTTACCATAAGCAGTGACTTTCTGAAAATGAGAGCCTTAACTGTGAGCTACTTTACTAATTGAGAATGATCTTAGTGCTTAGAAACTAACCTTCAACTCTCTTAGTTTGTGTGATATTCACAACTTTCAACCATCTGATTCCAGGCATCTTCCATTCTCACACTCTTCCGCTCTTCCCCATCCCTAATTCCCCCCCACAGTCAGGTTAAGTATTTCCTAGAACCTTGCTACTAGAGTGACGCCTGGACCAGCAAGCATCAGCAACATCTTCTAGTTAGAAATGCAAAACCTCAAGTCCAATTCCAGACCTATTGATTCAGAGCTGGCTTCAAAGCCATCCCCTGGTGTTTCACTTGCACATTAAAATTTGAGCTATTTGGAGCTCCCTTTTGCAGCTACTTCTCCACAAGAAGAAACAGATACTTGGAGCGCTGTAACATTTCCTCTGTGTGTCTCCTAAAAAGGAACCTAACCACACCACTGTGGCACCCAACTTTGGAAACTGTGACTACACAAACGGGATCTTGCAAGCCTGTCTGTACCCAGTGGGCACCTCGGATGAAAAGGTCTCTAAAACAAGGCATTTTTGCCTAATAGCCTATTGGAAGTGACTTTCGAGAGAAGGTCAGTTATGTATGTTTTGATACGCGTCCTTCTGTCCAGTGGCTTCTGCCTGGAGAAGCATATTAAACTAATTACCGACAGAATATTCTTTGCCCTAGCTAAGCCCAGAGACTTCCACACACTTGCTGATCCAAACAGCCTGGAATCGCGGACTTTCGATGCTGCTGCCACTACGTGAAGAATAGGGATAGACAGACTCCCTTGGAAAGAGCCTGTTGGCTGGGTCCAAACTGCCAAGTCGACATCACCCTCAGCTGAACATGGCTTTGGGCACGCGCTCGCGACCCTCATCTCTAAGGTTCAGGTCCGGCTTCCCACAGGCGTGTTCCTTTCGTGCACCTGAAGGGAAGAGCAGAGGTGGCGGCTGCAGCCAGGAGCGCGGGCCTCCTGGGTCCTGCCATTCCCGCGGTGCCGCCCCTCTGCGCCCGCCCGGGGCCACGCGGACACTCGCTCCGCGCGCAGGGGGACCGCTCCAGCTCTCCCACGCGAGCGAAGGGCGATTCGTTTTTCTTTTCCTGGTGTGCCTGGAGCACTTGCAACACCTGTGAAACATGACCCTGTCACAGAGTTTTTTGCACTTCAGCATAAAAACACCCCTGAAAGAACTTGTCAGTTGAATGCGACGGCCTAGACTCTAGAGGGAAAGGATCATGTCTTTCATGTCCCAGTATCCACAGTACCCAGCACTCAGCGTGGCCCTCAGTGAGTGCGTCTTGAACTCATCAGAGTAGAAATGACTAAAGAAATGGACAAATGAACGGATGCAGACAACAAGGAAAGAATGGAGACATCAAGGAAGAGATGAAGACAGGCCGGAGCTGCGGAGGGCTGGGAGTCCGCGGCCCCGCCGCCCGGGGGCGGTGTGGAGGGCGCGCGGGCTGCCCGGACCCCTTAAAAGGCGCTTCTCCCCAGCCCTACCTCCAGGCGGACACCCGGGAGGCGGAGCGGGGCGGGCCGGACGCGCGCGGCACCCGGGAGACGAGCTCGGAGCCCCCGGCAGGCGCCCGCGCCGGAGGCAGGTGCGGCCGCCCACCTTTGGCCTCTAGTTCCAGCCGCATCGTCATGCCCCGCGGCGCCGAGGCGCTGGACCTGCCAGTGCGGAACCGAGCCTCGGCCCTGTCTTTGGGGCCCCGCCGCAGGTCAGTACCCCGGGGGCGCTCGGCGCCGTCTGCTGAGCGCGCCATGGGCCCCCTTCCATTCCACGGTCCCTCTCGGGGGGCCCTGCCGCCGCCCCCTCCCGGGGCTGCTTTCCTCCGTGGGTCTTCTCGCTACCGCACCTGCGCTCCCATCTCCCACCCGCTTCGAGGCCGCCCGCCACCCGGGGCTCCGAGAGGCCGGCTTGCGACACGTGGAAAAAGTCTTCCAGGAACCCCGGGGCGGGCGACGACGAGGCGGAGTTGGTGACCCGGAGGCGGGGCGGGAACGCCCGGCCACGCGCCGCTTTTCATCGGCCGGCACAGATCAGCCTTGCAGCCCAGCGGCCGACCCCTCCAAGCGGTGCCCGCGGCGCCGGGCCCCCCGCCGCGTCTGCCTCCCGGCCAGGGTCTGCGTGCCCCGCGCGGCGGGCAGAAAGGGTAAGCGAGGAGGGCTAAGAGAAGGCGGCCCGCCTGGACGGGCTCCAGAACTGCAGGGAGACTGTCCCCGCAAGGCCCACATGCGTGGGCACCGAAGGCTTTTCCTGCTCTGGATCCCAAGAGCCGCGGAAAGTTTGGAAGGCAGAGGCAGGGCCCGGCAGGCGTATCCCTTTCCTCAGGCCAGGAAGCCAGAGAGAGGATCAGGTGTTTTCAGGTTAACCCGTCAGGTGAGGCGCTTGAGCTGCGCCTTTCAGGATATCGGACCTTGGAGCAATCCTCATCAAGTGGATGGCTTTACTGTTCTAGACCAGCGCCTTCTTGCTGCCTTGGGAACGCTTATATTAACTGCGTGCAGTTAGTTAAATAAGACTGTGCTTTGACTTCCGGAACAACCAGGCCTTTTCCCCAGGTGGGAGGGTTATAGTGTGGTTAACCTCAATTTCTCGGCCTGCATGAAAAGGCGTCCAGTTCAGCCGAATGGCGCTGCCAGGGGACCCCGCCTCTGTGGTCAAAGCTGCAACCAGCCAGGCGCGCAGCTGAGCGGGGTGATGAGCACAAACCGGCCTTGGCTCCCCTTTCCCTGCTTGCAAAACAAATAAAGTGGTGGGTCGTTCAACTTTCTTAAAATAGAGACTTTCCTGTCTTTCCTGCATGGCGCTCTCAAATATTATAAATGGGCTTACTGCTAGCAAGGAACGCCAGAATTCAAGAGAATTTACTTGATCTCTGGTGTATTCACTTGATCTCAGCTCTGCTTGCACTGATAAACAGGTTTGTGCTCATGGTGTGGTATATCATCTTTCTATCTTTTTTCTCGACTCCAGTATTTTTCTTAGCACATTTCCTTCAGGACTTAAATGGTTTTTCATCATATTTAGTCAGTGTCTTCAGAAGTTCCCATTCGACAGTATGGTGGGGAGACACAGTTGGGTGTGAACATAAATAGCTTTTGAAGGGATTCAGATTTGCGCTATATATGCCTGGTTGGACAGTGCCCCTGGGAAACAAGATTGTGTGTCTTGGTAAACTGGAAATGGAAGAGGGGGTCAGGAAGAGAGAGATGGGAGAGGCTCTCTGAGGATGTCAGGATGCACATTCTGGTGTTTTATGTGGAAGGGACCAACTACCTTGTTCTCCCCAGAGCTGGGATATGGATTTCTACTTTCAGAAACGGCACACCACCTTTCTGATGTGCTAACCCAAGAGCAGACGTTTAGGGGAATCTGGTAGCTTCTTCCTATTGAGTCAGCAGTCTCGAGATTTTAGCTCATCTTCCTCTTCATACTTTAAGAAGAGTCCAACTCCCATAACTGTAAACGTCCCCTTCTCCTTTCATAAGAACCTTCCATAAATCAGGTTCAGTGGCCTGGATCCTTTAAAAACAGGCACATGTGCCATGCTGCCCCTGACCATTCCCATGTAGATCATAATCATAATCATGTCATTTTATTTAATCTACTGCTCTTAAGAATCTGTCAATTCCCATGAAGTGTTCAAAGAGGCCTCATTCTTTTCTCCCAAGGAGGAGCATATCAAAAGTGTTATTTTAAACAAAGCAATGCATATAAAATATCTTAAGGAAGTAGGTAGACTAGGGAGACAAGTTTTGAACAGAGCGACAGAGAAAACAGAACTGAAAGTCAGAGATGATCATATTCACATACTAATAATCTCTTTGGTTAGGCCTCTAATACAAAGTGAAACCCAGTATAAGACAATTCTTAAAACTTAAATAGAAAAACAGGTGGTTTCTTCTGGCTACAATTTTCAAAGTAAAAATTGTGGCCGATGAAACCCCCTTTGGCTATGACAGTTCAAAGTGCAATCTTCCCTGAGGCTTGACTGCTATCTTGAGCTGAGGCCAGAAATCCAAGTTCTGTTCTAAAGAATGAAATCACCCTTTTGTGAGCTCTCACCTCACCTGTTATGGGCTTCATAGGAAAAAGTAATTTTATTTTTTTTATTAAACTGCAATATTCATTTCCATATCAAGTGTTTTAAAGACTTTTTGTTGCTTTGTTTGTTTACTGGTTTGCTTGCTTTGGCAGTCATCTGGGCCTTTTTCTTTCCACTTTCCTCAGCCTACCTGTAGCTGAGCTCGCTACTCTGTTTTGAGCTTGGGCCCCTGCCTCTTCCCTGGTGTGACAAGACAGCTTTGGGGGTATTTCTTTACCCTCAGCTGGAGGGACTGCTTTCTTTCTTCTCCTCTGAAGGTTGTATTTTATTATCTCCCCTTTTAATACATTTAGTTTCAGCCTAAAACATCTGTCAGGCTAATAACTGGCGACTAGAGTCTAAAGATTCTGGAAGATTGTCCTTGGTATAATTCCAAACGGCTCACAATTTAAATGGTGGGCTTTGAAAGAAAACTGTATCACCTACAGCAAGCAGAGGGAGTTGCTAGAGGTAGGGCGAATCGAAGGATTTTCCCAACCGACACTGTCCAAAAGTAAGTTAAACTCAGTCAGTGTTTTGAGGAAAAAACATTAATTATAACTTCTTTTAATTTTATGTTAACATAGGGACAGTCATCAGCATGACCCTGTTAAATTGGGCACTTATTGAAAATTTTAGAGAAAGAAAAATGGAAGAAAATGCCATAATTCCAGTCATCAGATTCAGCTGTAACTGCGTTTGGAATCCTGTATTGCTGAGACATGAAGTTTTGCTTTACTCACCTCCAACCCAGAGTGCTGATTCTTCAGGATGTGTTTTCAAAGGGAGTGAGGCTTGTTCAGAACAAGCGCTTCTTAAATGCACAGCTCTAGTTCTGTTTTCCTACTGGCCTGAAGCTGCAAAGTGGTGATAGCATATGATTTTTAGGAACTTAGTGGCATGGTTGTCTTTAGGGAAGTTCCAGAAAGTTGTAGTGTGGTCATCTTGTAAGGGTGGCTCTAGTGGACAATGAAAAGCACCTACAGTTTTTCTTATGGGTGCTTCTCAGGATTAGAATGACCAGTCATTTATTTTCTGAGAGCTGCACTATGAAGGTAACCAAGGTTTTTTTCTTGGACTTTTTTTTTTCTTAACTTCCTTTAAATGGGGCCCCATTACCCCAGAGCCTCATCTAACCGGACCTCTCCCGCCCCCTCTCCGGCCCCTCCTCCTCTCTCTTTCTCTCTGATTGGTCTAAATAAAGTCTGCCATCTGCCAGATTGCCCTGTGACATTCACCCTGGGGCCAACATGGTCATTGCTGTAGAAACATTGAATTTTAATCTCTGCATTTACTTCTCTTCCTTCACCTCCCATCCACCACTTACAAACTAAGGGCAGGGAGATACTTGATTACCTGATACATATTATTAGACGCTCCCTTTTTGAAATAGCTTATTTTAACTCATATTAACTCAAGAATTCACATGTTAATTGACAAAAATAAGAAAAGATGGAAACCTTGAAGACGAACATTAATGTGACCTATATAATAGTACTTCACAGTCCCACGATTTTGTTTTCCTGGCTGTGCATGTCTAGACTTTTATAATGTCTACATACAGATATAAATGTCAACATTTTGGAGAAATGGGCTCCCAATATCTTTTTATTATAACTTTTAAAAAATTTAGCAATATGTCATAGACATCTTTAAGTCAATACAGTTACAATGAACATTTTTGTAATCATGTTTTTGACTGGTGATTTAAACATTTGCAGTATAAATCCATAGAAGTTTGATTCCTAGATCACAGGTACTCTTCAAGAAAGTGCCCTTCAAAAAGTTACGTTTCCTTCAATATAGTTTTTTCGTTATTGATAAAATTTAAGATAACAATTTTCACCAGTCTGATGATTAGTAAATTTTTGTTCTTGTTAATGTTCACTGGTCTGTGAACTCTGAGGGAAGCATGAAGTCCCACTTCTGAGGCAGGGACTTCATGTCCTCCATATGTTGGATGATCATAATAGCCAACACTGAAGACACTAAAGTCATCATATGATTTGTCATGACAGGGATTAAAAGAGCACCTGAGGTGTCTACATATTTGGGTCAGGGTTGAAAAATTCGCATGGGTTTGATTGTTCCAAGTTTTTGGGCTGGGATTCTCTAAGAAATAGATTTCATTTGTTTTCCACCAAATACCAGAATTTTTATCTAGGCCCCAAGTAATATTTGGGAGCTGAAGTACATCTCTTTTCCAGGATCGAGTTGCGTTATTCCCTGAATTTTCCCACATTAGAGAGACATTGTTAGAAGTAATATTGAAGTCACTTAAGGACCATCGATATGTGAACTTATGGCCATCTGAATCATACAAAAGTCACATATTTTTAAAGGGGCAGAACCTAAGATTCTGCCTGAACCATTTATATTTTCAAAATAGACAAGTTATCAGTAAGAGTCCAGATTATATTCCCTTGTGAGTTGGAGGACCTTATGAATGGATCTGGCTACAGGAAAGTCATGTGTTTCATCAATATTTTTTGAGGTTTGAAAATAAAGAACTTTAAATCCAGTATTATGTCCTGTTAGGTTTTCTAAGCTTTCAAGGCATAGGGACCAAGCCGCTAATTCTGGCTCATAATGAGCATGGTTAGCTCTGATGTCTATCCAACCATCAGTTA